AATATTATACATTTTTGGAAAATGGGCGTAGCCACGCCCACTTATGGATACATGTGTATATCTTGGTAACCGCTGCACAAATTTCTTCCAAACAGTTGTTAGTCTTGCTACAGCATACAGCATACCAACTGGCCGAAAATTTCTAAAATCGGACAATAACCACGCCCACATCCCATATAACGGTAATTTCGAGAAATACAAAATCTTCGATAAATCAGTAAATATTGAAGCTAATTTATTCAAAATTGATGCTTGCAACAATTCTTTACCAAGAAATACGTTTATGATAAAATTTTGGAAAATGGGTGTGGCACCGCCCACTTATGATCACATATATGTATCTCGGTAACCGTTCTACCAATTTGTACCAAACTCGGTATGATTATTGTGCTTGCCCCATAGAAGCAAAACGTTGAAAATTATTGGAATCAGATTCAAATTACGACCACTTTTCATATAACGGCAAATTTCAGAAATGCTTGAAACTTCAATATTTCTAAATTTAAGGACGCTAATTTACTCAAAATTTATACACAGCGGCTTACCATGTAGCGGTACCTGCGCCGGGTATTTAATGTTCGGCTCCGCCCGAACTTAGACTTTCTTACTTGTTTGCTTAAAAATTACTTCCTTAAAAATTACTTTATGCGATCTTTTTTTTATTTTTTTAAGCTTGCAGCAGTTTGTTTTAACTCATTTAGAAGCATAAAACATTTTTTGCTATTTGAAACTTTAAGGCGCCTAAAGCTGCCGTTTGGCTATGATTTTTGAGATGCTTTTAGGCGAATCACAGCATGCATGTATCTGTAAACCCTCGGCAAAGCCTCACGCTGATATTTGCGAAAAGTTAAGATTTTGGTGATTTTATTTTTCGCTATCCTCTACATTATTTCAACGAGTAAATACTAAATATGCGCTGGCACGCGAAAGCAATAAAAATCACTGCAGAAAATTTATGGCGTGGAAAAAATCAACAATAAGAAAATTCAATTTGCCTGAGAATGAAGGTAATATCTGGGCTGTATATTTTCGGTTGTTAATAAGAGATGTGTGATGCAGACCCCAGTGGGGTAATCAAAGTAGCACAATTTTTCAAATAAGACACTCTTCTAAATTAATTGTTCAATAGGTACATAAAATAAATTACTGAAAGGAAAAGCAACAGCTGCTTGTAAATGCAGAGATTAAAAATCAGGTGGCAAACCAAAGCAATCTTAAGCACTACAGCTGTGCCAAGCTTCTATGTATATATAGCTGCAGTGTTTTAGCTACGAAATTACCTTAATTTTCTCACAGTTGATTAAAAATTTAGTATGCGCTCGCAAGCCTTGGCGCAATTGCTCCTTTTTCGGCTACTTTTTGCAAGTGTTATTGCAAGTGTTATGTGCAATTTTCTATATACATTTTTGTTTATATTTTATTTAGTAGCTTCTTATTTATTTATATGCATTTACGTGGCTGTTGTCCGACGTGGCACAGTCATAGGCGGTGTCGATTGCAGCCCTGAACATGCGAAAAGGCCAAAGAAAATCGTTGAAATATAACTAAGCTGTTGTTGTAGTAGCTTTCGAGCGAGGCAGTGTTGTTGTGGGCCGAGTTGTGAACTATAGTGCTAATATTTATTAATGCATATAAAGAAATATATAGTACGAATATACCTATAAATATGCTATTGGCATGCACATATGTATGTATGGCAAGTCACACGCCTGCTTTATGGCCAAAAAGGTGTTTGTATATACATATATACATACATACACATACATATATTTGTGTGCATGTTTCAGCCTTAGCATGTTTGCTTATCGATTTTTCTGTATTGTTTACGCTCTCATGCATTTGTGAATACCTTTCGAGGTTCCTTTGATGGAGCTGACCATTACCGCAAATAATCCTTGCTTGCACCTTTACATAGACTTCTCTTGATGGCAAATAAATTTGTGTAGCCGTTTACAAGGTAATATTTTTAGTTAAGCCAAGTGAGGATATGTCTTTTTTTTAGCTGCATGCAACCACGGCGGATACTTAAATAATAATAAATAACTTTAGAGGGAAAGGAAAAGCTCCATTCAAAGACAAACTGTGGTTAAGGTAAGAATGTGTGTGCACTTATCACAAATTTTGGACTAGCAGTTATTCCTAAAGTTGATTTCTAAAATGCTGTACCTTTCCAAAAGTTATTGATTTTTGTTCGAAACATATTGTTTATACATACATACATAGATGTAGCGTTGGCACTTTTCTACAAATAGATGTGTTGTTCTTTGTTTAACATCACTACTGCATTTTGAATGACCATTGCAGCTGGTTGTAGCTCCAGTGAGCTTATATGTTTAAGGGCTACATGAGTTTAAAAATTAAAAAAAAAACGATTTTTTGTTTGTTTTATTAATAGAACAATGTAAAAAAAAAAACATATGCCGGGCGTGTTAGCTTTCCTCAGAAGTTTTTTGCATGCGTGATTTCTTAAAAAAAAATAAAAAAAATTAGGTTTTGTCAAAAATATTTTAAGAAGACAATATGCAAGGTAAAAGCCAATTTACACCAAAAAATTACTTTTTCGTACAAAACTGCGCTTAAAACTAAAATTTTATTTATATATCTAGTAATAGAAGTTTCTGATTTCAGATGAATATATCATGAGTTAATGTGACAATTTCAAAGGAACTTTGTCCTGGATAATCAGGAGTGAGGTGGAACCTTCATAAGATGTATCTGTGTTGTCAAATGTTTATTTTATTTAAATGAGTACTTTATTCACTACAATAATACAATTGATGAGTTAGTATGATTTATTGCCTTATGCTGAATTTCCACTGGTCATTGAAAGGACACAAAATTAGGGACCGTAACGGTTATGATATTTATAAAAATCATATTTTGTTTGGCACCAAATTTAATTGTCTTTTAATGGTTTTTATTTTTTGATCAGGAATTTTCGTTTTTTATGTTTTTTTGTTTTATTTTTTTTTGATAAAAATAAACCTTGTTTTTTGATTTGTATCGGTTTGATCGTATTATAACCATTGTTTCCAGAATTAATTTTTTAGATTATAAAATGCATTAAGCTGTCTTAAAAACGATAGTTATTTTCGGTCAATGTTAAAATGTTTGTCTTTTAAAAAATGGCACATGGAAACGAAATTCAGAAGAATTTCATAAGCGTAATGACACGGCTATTTTTGAATGCCAAATTTTGTCATTAAACCTTTTGTTATTTACAGCACAGTGGAAATCTAGCATTAGAAAGAAGTGCGAGCAGTATTTCCAGACTTCAAAAATTTTCTTGAAATTTCAAGAAAAGTGACTTGATTACAACAAAAACGAGTGATGGTATTCAGCGATTAGTGAAACCTAAGTGGTAGAGCTTATATTTCATGGCTCCCGAATCACATAGTTTGCTCCCTCATTCGTAATTCGCTCTCTAATTACCTTTCGAATTACCTTATTCGCCATACAAAATTTTGTAAGCGAATTACCTAATTTGCAGGCAAATCAAATCCAATTACTTTGCGAATAACGAAATTGCTGCCTTCCCAAATTTTTATCGGAAGTTTATCGAAATCAGCTCACAAATCAAAACTGGTAATTTTTGTGAGTACTAGAAAAAATATAGTTAAAGGGCGAGCAAAGTAATTC